GGATAAACCCAATCCATGGCATGCTTAACAATCGCATTTCATTTTCAGTGTACATTACAATGGAGTTCAATGGAGAATGATATATTGATATCATGTTTGTGTGTGATTTACAAAACAGATCGTTTTTTTAATAATGGAATTGTTGTTCACTTTGAATAAAACTAATTTATTCATTCATTTTCTTTTCAGCTTAGTCCCTTTTTTAATCCGGGGTCACCACAGCTTAATGAACTGCCAACTCATCCAGCACGTTTTTACACAGTGGATGCCCTTCCAGCTGCAACCCATCACTGGGAAATATCTACACACACTCATTCACACTCATACACTACGGACAATTTAACCAGAGCGCCCGGAAGAAACCTACGCGAACGCAGGGAGAACACGCAAACTCCACACAGAGACGCAAACTGACACAGCCGAGTCTGGAACCAGTGACCTTCTTGCTGTGAGGCAACAGCACTACCTACTGCACCACTGCGTTGCCCACTTTGGATAAAGTCATCTAAATGTAAATGTAAAGAAAACATCACAGTGGAGAGATTACATGAACTGGAATAAAACAGAACCAGTACTTTAAAAGATATTTAATTTATTCAAAAGCACTGATTGATGTATTAGCCATCTTGTAGCAATATCACAACAGATTGTTCCAATAAATTAATGTGATGCTCTGGACATACTGTGTGTCATCTCATTCTGTGTTAATTACCTACTTCAAGCAGATGAACAAAACTCGACTTCATACATCATTATTGTTTCTTAATATGTAAATAAAATCAATCTGTGCTGTGCGTGTGCTTTTGAGTATGCAAACACCTGTTTTTTGTTGTTGTTGTTGTTGTTTTTATTGTTGTTGTTTTTGCACAGGAGCTGTCTTTGTTATTATAAATCTGAGTAATGAATTCTTTCCAGATAACATGATAGCAAAGTTGTCAAGATGAAATGAATAATTTTACAATTCTGAATATTCTTAAAACTAATAAATATTGTTTTCCATATTAAATTTGACAAATTTGACTTTTTTTCCCCACTTGAAGACAGCGGATGCCCTTCCAGCTGCAACCCATCACTGGGAAACATCCATACACTCTTGCATTGACACATACACGGCCAATTTAGTTTATTCAATTTTCCTATAGCCTACCACATGTGTTTGGACTGTAGGGGAAACAGTCAGTCGAAACAGTCAAGCCAGGGCTTGAACCAGTGACCTTCTTGTTGTGAATCGACAGTGCTAACCACATGAGCCTCTAAGACACCCAACGTTCATATTTTAACTCTTTATTAATATGGGAAATACCCACACAAACATTTTACGAAGAACACAATATTGAGAAAACAAAATAAGTTCTTCAATAAAAGTGATTTAGTACTTCTGTTGTTTTGGGCAGACTGTTCTAGAGTTTTCTCAAACCATGAGAAAATATCAGCGCTCTTTTAATTATTTCCTGTTTTCTGCGTAGGTGAGTCCATACAGACTCAATAATATTCAAGTCTGAACTGTGTTTGGGATCGTTATTATGCTAAAAAATAAAGTTATTTTCAATGAGATGATTTACAGGTAGTGGCACAGTGGCGCAGTGGGTAGCATGATCACTTCACAGCAGGAAGGTTGCTGGTTTAAGCCTCGGCTGGGTCAGTTGGCATTTCTGTGTGGAGTTTGCATGTTCTCCCTGTGTTCTCCCTCCGTGGGTTTTCTCTGTGTTTCGGTGTTCCCCCACAGTCCAAACACATGCGCTATAGGTAAATTTGGTAAGCTAAATTGTCTTTAGTGTGTGTGTGTGTGTGTGTGTGTGTGTGTGTGTGTGTGTGTGTGTGTGTGTGTGTGTGTGTGTGTGTGTGTGTGTGTGTGTGTTTGTGTGAATAAGAGTGTATAGATGTTTCCCAGAGATGGGCAGGGCATCCACTGTGTAAAACATATGCTCGGTAAGTTGGCAGTTCATTCTGCTGTGGTGACCCCAGATTTATAAAGGAAGTAAGCCGAAAAGAAATGAATAAATGAATGATTTACAGGTAGATGGCAATGATAATGGATTAAAACCTGTCTATATTTTTCAGGATTTACCATCATGAATTCAGAAAATATTGTTAACAGCACTGGCAGAAATGCAGCCCCAATCCAGAACAGATTGTCCGGCATATAAAGCCTGACAGCATTCTTCAGTGTTAAAATTGTATTTTGTGCATTTTAAAATAAATTACCAAATACCTCCTTTTTAGGTGTATCAAAATAAACTACAAAATACAGCAGCCACAACTGTATCAAATTGAAATACTGTATTTTTGTATTTTAAAAATGCTAAAAAATACTTTTACAAGCATGAACCTTCTTTGCAACCCTTCCATAAATATACCTATTTGATCAATATCTTCACTGTTAAACATGAAGTAAACTTTTTTTTGATAGCAACAGCTTCACAGATATCTATACATTTTTTTACTTGTTTCTTTTTTATCCATTTAGTTTTTTGCAAACATAATTCATAGAGAAAGCCCTGTTCAATGCAGATAATAGAGTCCAATATCTGTTGATTATGTTTTCACCCATGGTGTGGCCAGTACAATGGATATAAGTTCTGTATAATGATTATTCACCTTCTTAACATTCTTATATTTTAAAAGGGTGATATATGAAGTGTTTAATTGTTAAATATTTTTTTTCATTGAGTTTTCATAAATCTATTTTTTGCAACTGAACTCTTAATTAGACCCACTCATATGATTTCTGAAAAACTAAATAACAGTTTTAGTAATTTCCATGTGTAATTTTTTGCACAACATAAAAACATGATATCTTACCTAATTCCTAAAAATTGCCTTATCAATTTTTGCACATAAACTAGATATTAATATAGAGTTGAAGTCAGAATTATCAGCCCCTCTGAATTATGAGCTCCCCTGTTTATTCTTTCCCCAATTTCTGTTTAATAGAGAGAAGATTTTGTACAACACATTTCTAAACATAATAGATTTAATAACTCATTTCTAATAACTGATTTATTTTATTTTTCCATCATGACAGTAAATAATATTTGACTAGATATTCTTCAAGACACTTCTATACAGCTTAAAGTGACAGTTAAAGGTTTAACTAGGTTAACTAGGTTAACTAGGCAGGTTAGTGTAATTAGGCAAGTTATTGTATAATGATGGTTTGTTCTATTGGAAAAATATGTCGCTTAAAGGTGCTAAATATTTTGTCCTTAAAATGGTTTATAAAAAAAAATGCTTGTATTCTAGCCAAAATAAAACAAATACTTTCTCCAGAAGAAAAAATATTATCAGACATACTGTGAAAATGTCCCTGCTGTTAAACATAGTTTGGGAAATATTCAAAAAAAGAAAAAAAATTCAAAGGGGGCTAATAATTCGGACTTCAACTGTTTATCCTGCTGATGCCGTATAACCCGAGTCAGGTGTTTTTGACTAGTCTGTAAAGACTGAATTTCTGTATTATTAAATATTAGTGTTTAATATATTTTACGACTTTGACATCTTAAGGCAGACACCTTTCCTCTTCATTAACTTTACTACTGGAAATTTTAACAGCCAGTGAAGTATTGTAGGTTTAGCCATGATGTGATGCATACTTTCCTTGCATACTCCACCACCTTCTTCAATATAAATACATTTTCTGTTCTAATCTCAAGTCTAAGCAAATAACTGAGAAAGCACCAATCTGAGGATTCATTTTCACGATGTTATCATGTAGACTTCTTACAAAGTATTTTACAGTATTTTCAAAATACAAAAATACATAATGAACTATAAGACATGGTCGATTAATATTTGCAGCTAACTGTTTGGAAGCATGGAAAGTGTCCAAGAAGATGTCCAAAATTTTTACACACGTTGACCCAGAGACTGTTTAGGTACATGTCACTGATGAGAAGATGACAGATGTTTACTGTATGATGACCGAAATGGCCTTAAAACACCCAGCAAGCGCAAAAGATGTCAGATTGACATTGTACCCCGACGTTTTGGGGACATTACATTTTGTTTGGAAATGAAAATTTGGTTGATATCACAATGTCAGGCCTACGTCAATGTCTAACATCCAACCTAAAATCAACATCTAATGATGTTACAGCTTGACAATGTGTGGACTTAACACTATGACATCAATCAGATGTAGGATTTTGGTTGCCATAACGAATGAATAAATGACGTCAATATTGACGTCAATGACGGTATTTGACATCAATATGATATTGGTTTATGATGTTGGCTCGACGTTGGATTTTAGTCACTTTCCAATGCAAGCTTAAATCAAACAAATATCAACGTGATTTGACATAATTATTGGATGTCAAAATAACAGTCCTTAGATGGTCACCTGACATCACAACCTAAATCTAAACTAATATTAACATCTTATGTCATTGTGTGCCTGCTGGGCAACTACTAAATGCACTACAGAATGTTACGTTTACACACATCCACAAGTTACATGTAAAAGCATCAGCTTTTAACAGCATAATACTCACTACTCACTACTCTTGAGTACTTTTGAAAGGGCTACTTTTTACTCATACTTTGAGTACTATTTACAACAGATACTTTTACTCTACTTGCACTACATTTTAGTCAAGTATGATTTTTCAATACTCTTTTCACAACTGTGAGTTACTTTACTTGTTACTTCGAGTTGTAATGCTTGTAGCCTAATGTGTTACCCTCAACATGCATTCATTCATCTCTCTTTCAGATCTTAAACATTTACACCACAAAAAATCCATCCTGTTTTCAGAGTCGTATTCTAAAAAGTAGAATGAGAAATCCTTTTAAATAGTCGTCATGTAATGGTGGCCTAAAACGTGACCACTGCACTGTGTAGATCTTCATTTTTGTGTGTGATACTAAATAATTCATTATTTAAAAAACGGGGAAAAGTCAACATTTTCTGGTCTTTTAACCAATGAACGGGCGTGTTTTGTGTGGGCTCCTCCTCCAACTCCGCCCCTTTGAGTGGGCTGAGGGCTGCAGTCGCCATGGAGACGCCGCCCGGAGATGCAGGGCATGCAGGCTCTCAGGAGGAGCAGCAGATCTTTCAGCACCTCGGACAGCAGCGTTGCGTCGGTCCACCTTTTATCCGCACTCGCTACTGTATGCTTATCGTGATCGGAGACATTTCAACAGATCATCAGCTCGATTCCGTCAAAGAACACATTAAACGAGGTGAGTCGCCAACTTTTGGGCGGGTGAGCAAGCATGAGGAATTCAGCAGCCGCACATCCATCAAACACGTAGATTCAGAAGCAAAACACAGGATTAAAGCTGTGCATCCTAGAGACGGGCAATGATAATATTAAGAAAGGTTTTGAAACAGTTTTACTCATATATAGTTAAATAAACGGACTTTAAGTTGAATTTAAAGTGAAATAGTCTACACTGAAATACATAATTTACTGGATTTACCATATTTTTTGTGTCGTTTCAAACAATTTATTTACGCTGAATTTAACCAAACAAATTAAATTTAGCAATCCTCAACTTAATTTATTTGACTAAATTTAGACCACTTAGCTTACAAAAATATAATAAATCCAATCATTTTTGTTCAGTGGACTGGACATTTCTTTCTTTCTTTCTTTCTTTCTTTCTTTCTTTCTTTCTTTCTTTCTTTCTTTCTTTCTTTCTTTCTTTCTTTCTTAGTGTATGAATGTATACATGTGATATTTTTTTGCCATAATACACAGCAGTCAAAGACATCTGTCCTATTTGTGTTAGCATCAAAGTCAGTTTAAAAAACTTTATGCATAGAAATTTAGTGCAAGTAAATGTTTGATATGTTAAAATGTCAAAGAATTGTGAAATAGTGTTTCTATGTTCTATGAAATAGTGTGACTTTTTATGTTTATAATAAAGTGAAACATTATTCTGTCATATAGGCTATCTTTTACAATATGTGAAAAAATAAGCAAACTAGTAAGAAGTACTAAGTAAGTTTTCAAATATTTAAAATTATTAAAGTGTCACTGGGAAATATCCACACACACTCATTCACACTCGTACACTACGGACAATTTAGCCTACCCAATTCACCTGTACAGCATGGACTGGGGGGGAAACCGGAGCACCCGGAGGAAACCCACACAAATGCAGGGAGAACATGCAAACTCCACACAGAAAAGCCAACTGAGCCAAGGATCGAACCAGCAACCCAGTGACCTTCTTGCTGTGAGGCGACAGCACTACCTACTGCGCCACTGCATCACCCCATTATAAGTTTCAAAATTAATTTTTGTTATTGTTGTTAGTAAAAATGTTTGACAGTTATCATATATGTGTTTATTTATTTATTTTGCTAAAAAAATGTAAGAAAATAAACCCCTGCACATTCCAATGTGGGGAAGAGGAATAAGGCTACATGACATGATTTATATTTTAGTTTAATTAAACATTAAGTGCTATAAAACAACAACTTAAAAGTACCATTGTGTTAATTGAGAAAAGCAGCTTACAGTCTATCCGTAAAGTATTCATCGCGCTTCACTTTTTCCACATTTGTTTCACTTTAACTCATGAACATTTCATTCATGCCACCGTGACAAACTGGGGTATTAGATGCAAAATAAGGAGTAAGGACTGGTAAGAGTGTTATGGAATTTAATAACGCCAAATGGAAAGAAATAAAAATATAAACAAAAACCTTGTGACAAGCTGCCAGTACATATTTTGTTATTTTACAGACTTTTTTCTCTATAGGCCTATATTGTTTTATACAACATTATTTCAAAGGCTGCACAGTGGCACAGTGGGTAGCGTGTTTGTTTCACAGCAAGAAGGTCGCTGGTTCGAGCCTCAGCTGGACCAGCTGGCGTTTCTGTGTGGAGTTTGCATGTTCTCCCTATGCTGGTGTGGGTTTCCTCCACAGTCCAAAAACATGCACTATAGGTGAATTGAATAAGCTAAATTGTCCATAATATATGTGTGTGTAAATAAAATTGTATGGGTGTTTCCCAGTCATGGGTTGCAGCTGGAAGGGCATCCGCAGTGTAAATCAAATGCTGGATAAGTTACTGGTTCATTCCACTGTGGAGACCCTAGATTATTAAGGGACTAAGCTGAAAAAAAGGAATTAATGTTATTTCAAACTATTAAATGATTTATTTTATCTTTGCCATGATGACAGTACATAACATTTTACCAATTTAAAAAAATAGCTTAAAGTGACATTTAACTTAACTAAGTTAAATAGGTTAACTAGATAGGTTAGGGTAATTAGGCAAGTTATTGTATAATGATAGTTTGTTCTGTAGACTATAAAAATAGTTTTAAGGGCCTAATAATTTTGACCTTAAAATGTTTTTTAAAAATTTAAACAACTCATATTCTAGCCAAAATAAAACAAATAAGACTTTTATTCAAAAGAAAAAATCTTATCAGACATACTGTAAAAATTTCCTTGCTCTGGTAAACATCATTTGAGAAATATTTAAAAAATAAAATAAAATTCAAAGGGGGGGCCATATATATGTCGATTCTGATTCAAGATCCTGATGGTTGTGTTGACTTTATTGTTCTGTGATTTTGATATAATAAATGTATTTTCTAGGCATCTTGTCATGGGACATTGATTTGACCATTTGTGATTTGAACAAGGAACTGAAGCTCTTTCAAGCAAGACACTCTGCCCAGTTCTCTTCAGAAGTGAAAGGTCAGTCAAAGCTTCTGAAAAAATAATACACAACCTTTTAGAGAAGTTATTTAAAGTATACAGCAGAACTGTTTTACTCCTAGGTCCTACCAATAGTAGGATGCAGCCTTTATGATGCTTATCTTATCTCTTATCTCTCAAAGATGCAATGTCAGACACAATGCACTCAATGGAGCTAGTGACGTTACTGTGACGGGTAGGGTTAGGGGGTGGGGTTAGGTGAGCCCATTCAAAAGCATTACATGGAGCTCAGGTTGCATCTGAACCGAGTTTGCAGCCAGACCCCTTTTGGTCCTGCAGCAATCCTGTTTTGTGCATTTGTTTACTTCCATAGTGTTCAGTTCTGAAAATTTCCAAATGTTTTAGAAAGCCTCAGATGCTGTGCGATTCAGAACACATGCTCTGTTCACTCTCACTCAGCCAGAATCTCAGTGTTTGTGATAGCAAGAAGCTTCCTGCCATTTGACAACTAATAGACCACTGTAAAGGTGAGAAGGTGAGTGTGAATCAACAGTGGTGAGAATTTACAGGGAAATGATAAGATTACATTAATGCGAGGTTTCCTGTGAAGCTGCCTTGCCGAACCCACCTGAGCTCTCACAGCCATAATTGGCAGACATTCAACAGAGTACTGCAGCTGAAGTGTCAAACACCAGAAGACTGATTTGCCTTTGGTTCCCCCAACGGGTTCCTGGGTTTTCAGATCATGGGTATATTAAGTTTTGTGGTTAACATGACCTAATGTTACTTGGACATTTGGCTCTACAACAGGAATTACAGTACACACACTCATCCAAACAAATGTTTAAAGTAGTTATTTTTATTTAAAAGGAGAGTGCAAAAATGAAAATCATCATATTTACTCACACACTCACAGCCTCAAATCAGATTTTCAGTGATATGGCATTTTTAAATGAGTGTTTCCAATAAGTCACTACACAAATTGGCGTCTGTATATGTGCAGTTTACACTGTACAACAAAACCCCCATGTCAAGTTATGTTTACCACACACCAAACCCACAAGAAAATCTCAAGGGAAACAGTAGCAAATTAGTCATGTGGGTTTTGATGTCAAGGCTGAAGTAGATTTGTTTATTGCACCTTGTATATTTCTCTCATGAATATTCTACCTATCAGTTCAGAATGGCCCTGTGGCAGTGAGAGGAAGGTATTGGCACTCTATTGGCAATTGTGAGAATGCTCTTTTGCTCATGTTGTCTGTTCATAATTCATAATTAACCAATTTCAGATCAACATGTCACCAGACTGGAATATTGCTTCATATTAAATGAAAGCATCAAGCTTTTCATGTTGCCATGCAACGCAGAGACTGAAAACCACTTGATTTATAAGTGGAATAGAGTAACACTCCTGGGACTGCGGGACAGACTGATAGTCTCACCATAAATGTGCAATAGCAATTATATCAATAGTTCTAATTTGGTAAATCATTCCTTTATTTGCATTCGACTTAGTGTCTTTATTCATCACGGGTCGCCACAGCGGAATGAAGCGCCAACTTATCCAGCATATGTTTAACACAGCGGATGCCCTTCCAGCTGCAACCCAGTACTGGGACAAATTCATACTCACTCATTCACATTCATACACTACGGCCAATTAAGTTTATTTAATTCACCTATAGTACATGTGTTTGGTCTGTGGAGGAAATCAGAGCACCCGGAGGAAATCCAAAGTAAAACAGGGAGAACATGCAAACCTTGCGACTTTCTTGCTGTGAGGCGACAATGCTAACCACTGAGCCATCGTGATGCCCTATTTTGTAAATATAGAAATTTAAAGTAGTATATAGTATTTAACAAAAGTAAACAATTACAAAAAAAAAATTTAACATGTGGCTTTAATAAAAAAAAGAAATGGTTAACCATTGAATTATTATTAATATATATTTATTATATTCCAGTGGATCAGAGTAAATAACTCTACTTTCGTTTGTTTGTTGTTTGCTTTATTTATAGAGCACATTTAAAAACAACAGATGTTGACCAAAGTGCTTTACAAAACGACCAGCATACAAAATCTATACCTATATAAAAAAATTGTGCAAAATATATAAAACAGATTAAAATTAATTAATTACAATCAAAGGCAAGAGACAGAAGGTGATTTTTTAGATGAGACTTAAAAGCACCAAGTGAAGAACATGACCGAATCTGTAAAGGCAGACCATTCCACAGTCGGGGGGGCTGCAGCAGAAAAAGCCCTGTCACCTCTTGATTTCAACCGCGTTTTGGGGATAACTAGCTGAAACGTGTTTTCAGACCTGATTGGCCTCAATGAAGTGTGCCAGTGAAGAAGCTCAGAGATGTAAGTCGGTGCCAGACCATTTAAACTTTTAAAAACTAGTAGCAATAACTTATATTGAATTCTAAATTGGACTGGGAGCCAGTGAAGAGACAATAAAACTGGTGAGGTACTAGAAACATTTTTTGTCTCAGTTAAAAGCCTAGCAGCTGCCTTTTGAACCAGCTGCAGGCGAGCTATTGATGCCTGTGAAACTCCAGAATACAAAGAGTTACAGTAGTCCAGTCTTGACATAATAAAAACATCAATGATAGTTTCCAGCTCTTTAAAAGAAAGAAAAGACTTCAATTTGGCAATGTTCCTTAATTGATAGAAACCACTTTTGACGTCAAAAGTAACTCCAAGATTTTACCCCATACTGGCTACGTGTACATGTATGCTGTTTAATTTGGTCAGAATGAATCATTCAGGTTGATGAATCTGAACCGTGTGAGCAAATTTAAATGCTAAAGAAAGTGGGTTGATGTGTGTATTTATGTAGCGAGCTTAAAACTAGTTTTGATTCTCAGATATAGAGAGTATATACTGTTTTGAGAAGTTCATACACTGTAAAAAATTATTTGAAAAAAAGCCATGACAACAAATGTTTGATGTTACTCTAACTTACTTTAATAATTTTGACTTAATATTGTTAGTCGGTTTGAATAGTTTAAGTTAAAATGACTAGAAGTTTAAATTCAACTAAACTATTTAAAGCAGTAATATTTATTACACTGTAGTAAAATGAAGACCCCATTTAAAAAAAAAAAAGTCTTGATATTTTGTCTTATTAGGGTAGAACAGTATTTTGGAAATATATTTTGGTATATTGGACAGTATATTGAAAAGTCCACAAATCAGGACTTGAGACGCTCACAGCTCAACTGCTTTATAAGTGCACTGTCCACAAGGATATCGGTACCAAAAACTTAATATTAATCTAATTTGCATTTTACAGAAAGTCAGGAAAAAGAAGCAAAGATGATTTATTTGCAGCAAAACATTTATTCCAGAACAAGATCCCAGTCTCTAGTGGTGTCCAAAACTATAGTAGACCTTCTTAAGGGCACACATTCAAACCTACAATGCAACACGCAATTTGAAATCACTCACTCTTTTCATTCACTCTTTCCATCCAACAGCTATCTCTCAGCAACTCTCACATGGTCCCCCACTTAAACTAAGCAGGGCGGCGCCTGGTCAGTTCCTGATTTGGAGACCACATGAGAAAGCTAGATTGCTGTGGGAAGTGGTATTGGTGAGGCCAGTAGGGGGCACTCAACCTGAGGTCTGTGTGGGTTGTAACGCCTCAGTCTCGTGATGGGGACTCTATGCTGTTGAGTGAGTGCTGTCTTTCGGATGAGATGTTAAAACGAAGTCCTGACTCTCTGTGATCTTTAAAAATCCCAGGATGCCCTTAGAAAAACAGTAGGGGTTTAACCCCGGTATCCTGGCCAAATTTACCCACTGGCCTGTCCATCATGGCCTCCTAACCAACCCTAATATCATAATTGGCTTCATCACAGTGTCTCCTCTCCACCAATCAGCTGGTGTGTGGTGTGCGTTCTGGCAAAAAAGGCTGCTGTCGCATGGTGGATGCTGCACACTGGTGGTCAATGAGGAGATTCCCCTTCAAAAAATGTGCAAAGCGCTTTGAGTGTCCAGAAAGGCGCTATATAAATGGAAGGAATTATTATTATTAAGTTAATGATAGGGGATAGTGAATGAGGGTATATTGGGTTGATTTTGGATTTAGCCAGGGGCTTATTGTATATGCACAACAGAACTGGAAATAGCTAGACTAGGTACAAGTGGAAACAAGAACAGGATGTAAACACAATTTAAAAGACTACAAAGCAAGAGTACAGAGGACAGACAGAATGTGAAATGAGGAGATGACAGGCATATAAAATGTATGTAAAGCATTAAATAATTTATCAATAAAAATGCCCCAACAACATAAAGCAGCTCATTTCATGTCATACATCATTTTGCCAGCTTTCATTACTGCTCAACTTTCTATTTTCTTTTCTTGCAGTTTTTAATTAAAATCAATGTACAGTCACTGTTTTATGACTATGTATGTTGCCTTTGAGTGCCATGAAAGGTGCCTATAAATAAAATGTATAATAGTATTAGTGTTTATATGTTCACTCAGTGAGATTAGAAACCCAACCCATTACAATTCAATCAAAATTTCATTTGGTTCAAGCTCACTCTAATCAATACAAGTGTTCATATCAAAGCTGGGTTCAGCCTGATCGAGTCATCAGCCTGATTACTAACCAATTACTTGGTCTGCTTTGATTTGTTTTATCATGATGTACTGTTGATTGTCCCTGAGATTAACTTGATGTACTGTCCTTTGTTGTCACTTTACAGCCAACCAGTTCATACCTATTTTTTTTTTTTTTTAATTTCATTTGTGTTGTGCTGAAGCTTTGTAAGAGCAGTGCTGTTCTGAGCTCTTCTTTGTTAAAGGGCACCTATTTTACACCTTTTTCAAGATTTAAGAAAAGTATATTGCGTCTCCAGAATGTGTCTGTAAAGTTTCAGCTCAAAACACACATCAGATTATTTATTATATATATTCTGCTCTGAACATACTGTAGCTGTTCTTGTGGCCTGCGCCTTTAATGCTGTTTTTCCCGCCCACTGTTCCCACATGCCTGTCAGAGTGTGTCTCAGTTTGTGT